ATGAGACAAAGTATATGTGAACTGCTGTATGAAAAGTGAATTTACTCTGTAAATCTTCACCCAAATCCTAATAAAACAAAAAAAAAAAAAGAAAAAAAAAAAAGGTACTTTTTAATATATGCATGATATTCCATGGTTATATATATCTGTGTGTACATATATATGTGTGTATGTGTGTGCTGCCAAAGGCTTTTTATTTGACCACAAATAAAATCTACAAGGCTCTACAGGACACATGATTAAAAACTTGGCTCTCAGTTCCCCTTAAGCTGCTGTATTTTTCTCTATCACACTTATATCCAACTATATATTTTGCTTAAATATTTTACTGTCTGTCTCCTTCCACTAGAAAAGTGAGTTATAGGAAGGCAGAGATTTTTGTCTCTTTTATTTACTCCTGTAGACGAAAGTGCCTTGAACAGTGCCTGACACACAGTGGAGTCAATAAACAGTTGTTGGACTGACTGACTGAATGAACGTAAAATAGTTAGAGTAGGACCTGGTATACGCTGAGTGTTCAATATACATTAGTTTTTACTGGTGTTTTTTCTTCACAGATCTTGGTTGCCTTTTCAAACAACTGCTTTATCTTGTCAATGTCTTTCAAAAACACATAGTACCCCACTCTCCAAACACCACCTGAATTAGCACTGAGTGGATCAGGGCTGCAATCTTTAGTCTGTGTACTCCAACTCTACTCATGCTGTACTGAACTGGAGACCCTTAGTAAACTTTTGGCAATCAAAACATAAATACACACACTCAAACATACAGACATAACCTGCTGACCTACTGCCACTGAGTTGATTCCAATTCGCAGTGACCCTGTAGGACAGAGTCTGACTACCCCTACACTCTGGGTTACATACATACATTAAAAAAAAACAAAAACAAACTCACTGCTGTGGAGTTGAATCTGACTCACAGTGACCCCTCCTTGGGTTTCCGAGGCAGTATCACTACGGAAGTAGATTGCCCAACCTTCCTGCTGAGGAGCGGCTGGTTGGTTTGAACTGCCAGCCTTCTGGTTAGCAGTCAGATGCCTTAGGCACTATGCCACCAGAGCTCCTAAATACATACCACATATTTAAAGTTTATTATTTTATTTTAGTGGAAAGAATTGCTGCCCAATTATGCCATGGGAAAGTCTTGGGATCCTAGGGATATGGTTTTTGGACAAATCACTTATGACCCAGTTAGTCGTGGTGATAGAAAACTAGTTATACAGCAACAATTCTGTGGTAATCGTAGGTTTTGGAGGCTGCTCTGGGTCATATTTCAGTATGCCGATTACATTAAAACATGTCAAATCAAAGAACATTAATATTTATGTGTGTCCTAGTGTAACTTACATGCTGCTTACACCTGGATTTTCTACCAAATAATAACATATTACTATGAAAGCTAACTGATGAATAAGTAAATTTTATTCAAGATGGCAGGCCAATTTTACTTATAGACATATAGATATAAATATTGGCACATAAATAAATTTTTCCATATATACATGCACAAGGGGCTCTGGTGGTGTTACTGTTCAAACCCAGCAGCCACTCCTTAGAAAGAAGATTGGGCGATCTACTTCCATAGAGATACTGGCTCGGAAACCCAAGGAGGGGTCACTATGAATTGGATTCGACTCGAAGGCAGTGAGTTTGGTTTGTATACATACAAATCTCTCACTGCCATCGAGTTGATTCTGACTCATAGCAACCCTCATTGGGTTTCTGAGGTGGTAAATCTTTATGGAAGCAGATTGCCCCATCTTCCTTCTGTGGAGCAGCTGGTGGGTTTGATCGACCAACCTCCTGGGTAGCAGTCAAATTCCTCAGGCACTATGCCACCAAAGAGCCTTATACATACATATATACAAATAAATAAATTGGCTATACTCTTGATCATATTGATTTTAAGAAGATTAGAAATAATGGAGACCCAAAGGTAGTCACTTCTTTCTGAAATTAACTGGATTGTAATGTAACAGAGCTAGTTACACTATAATCACAATATTAAAAAATTGAGTATAACTACATTTTGAGGGGACCTACTCTGGTTGCACAGTGCTTAAGGCATTTGACTGCTAACCAGAAGGCTGGTGGTTCAAATCC